AAATCTGGCCACTTTTTCTGATGTTATTGGAGACTTATTTATGCTGCCGTGGGCACCTCACCCGTGCCAAAGCCCCCAGCTGCTATCAGGGCAGGAGATGTGCACACCTGTGCGTCCAAACTGCAAATGAATCACGCACGAGCGAAGCCTCTGCTCCCGCACTGACTGTAACGCAGTCAGTTCTTCTTTTATTCTTATGCTGTTTTGTGGATCACAAGGTTTAAAACTACTTATAAACACACACACAAACACACACACACACACACACACACACACAGTAACTCCACCAGAGCGCCTATTTCGGGTCACTTTTGCCGGTCCAAGCCTGGATAAAGGAGCAGGGTTGGAATTGTGACATAAAAAAAACAAAAACAATAATCGCTAAAGAAAAAATTAATTTGTAATTCTAAATAAATTCTAAATGCATTTAGGACTTTTTTACTCACTTTATGTCTCTTCTTTTCTCTCTCCAACAACGTGGGTTACAATGATATCAGCATGACCAATTATGCAAATTAGGCGATGACGTCGTTTAGCGACTTCTAGAGACTTTCAGCACAGCCAATAGCGATTTTCCTTACTGAGGAGTTGGCAACACTGACCGGGGGCTGCGACACATTTACACAGCTGTGTTTCGCACATGACTATGAAAGGTGTAAGAGGAAGTAGTTCCTTCCAATTTAGATGATCCGAATGATGTAGTTTCTTTCCACTGTGCTCCTGTTAATGAAAAACTACAAATTTGTACAAAAAGTACTAAAATATTAATATTTTAATATGAGAATGATTCTAGAACATAAATTACTGGGATCGGAAGAATCGATATTTCAATATCGATCCGCACATCACTAGGCACAACACCTGGAGCTCAGGGGGCAAAACAATCGCATCAGTGCTGCTGTTTGACTGAGGAAGAATAAAGTAGTCAAGACAATCACATGACCACTTCAAGACAAAGCAACAAGGTGACATATACCAGTTTATAAATTGTGTTGATAGGCCAGTAAAACCAGAGTCATGATAAACAAGATACACGCCTGTTTTTCCTGAATAGTTTCGTCACGTTTGCTGTCTAAGGACAGCGCAGCGAGACCTCTGCTTATGAGCAAAAAATTTAAAAAACAAACAAAAAACAGCCCGTTGGTGTTGGTGGAAAAATGCACCATGTCGACCAATCAAAAAATGATATGGCAACATGACATTTGGTTGTTTAGGAAGAGAGAGAGAGTTTTGAGATGTGAGAGATTTGTGACGTTTAGCGAGTGTGTAGTTAATGTGTTGTCTTCTGTAGTTAGTGTGTAGTGAGTGTGTAGTGAGTGTGTAGTTAGTGTGTAGTTAGTGTGTAGTTAGTGTGTAGTGAGTGTGTAGTGAGTGTGTAGTGAGTGTGTAGTGTGGTCAATAGTGTTGTGTGTCAGAACAATGAGGCGACTGCTGAGTGTTACAGGTGTTACAGCAGTGACACATCTGCTGCTGTCAGGCCTGCAGGTATCAGGCTGCTGTTCTCCTTCATCTCATAGTGGACACAAATTATTTTTTGGAGCGGCACAAATAATTTGTGTGGCATCAGATTTGATGCAGAACAGCTGATTGTTCTGTAAATAGTTTGAAATGTTTATTTAAAAACGCCTTGGCTGCATTTTTAGGTAAAAGCTGCAAAAAACTTTGTTTCCATAACTCAGTTACTTTATTGAAGAAGTAACTATATAATTAATTGCCCAACATTGGTCATCATTTACTGTATTTTGCAGACAGAGTTACAGACTCTCTCCCAGACCACAGACTCATAATACAAGTCAGAGCTTTATAAATATAAAAAAAGAAAGTTGTGTTTTCAAAATTGGAGTTCAGGTTATTTTTCCTTCCAATAGTGTTAACATGCTACAGGTCATGAACAAGATTTATTTAAATTTTCATTGTAAGTGGGCTAAAGCAGGTAATTAAAAGTAGTCTAACATAAACGCTGTAATTTGATTACTTTAATAAACATGTAACTTGGATGGATTGGATGCTGGCGTGACCACAGTGCACACGTCTGCTGTTGTTCACAGTGGTCCGAGGGACGCTCAGGGAGTTTGTGTGTTCGCTCACACACGAAACATTAGAGGGAACATTGAACTGGACCCCAGAGGGTTAAACTTTTTTTTTTTTTAAAGTAACGCAGTAGTTAATTACTTTTAGAATCTTGTAACTCAGTTAATTTTTTGAAGAAGTAACTAGTAACTATAATTAATTACTTTTTCAAAGTAACTTGCCCAACACTGAGCACGCCACACAGGTTAAAGTATGCTGGAGAAACGGTGCAATATCCAAAAGATCCACGTGGGCTTTCTATGTGAGCACCTGCAGAGTTCAGTAATTCCACCAATGCCAGCGTCTCCCAGTGTTAGAAACTCACACCAAAATAAAACAGCACTCAACTAAGTGGAGGTGCTTTAGTGCTTCCACTAAATATTTCAAATTGCAGTTACTGTAAGACAAAATCTTTCTGAATAACTGGATATTGCAGAGGGATGTGTTCAGTTTTGCTGTGTATAATTTGAAACGATGTAAAAAGATGCTGGAGTGCTAAAGAGTTGGGTTTGGAAACATCACTGCAGATTTGATTTCACCAGTGTAAAAAATGCTGTTTCTGTATGAGAGAATTCAAACAGATTGAAAAGTCAAATACCTGAAGAGCAACAGAGAGCCAAGCAGTGTCCATCACATGGATGTCTCAGGCATAGTTATAGCAGTACGTGGGCGTTTTACTGCATTTTACCTGAAGTGCCTTTCTGTCTAAGAGCCACTGAGACAAACAAGGAAAGAATGCTCTGCTACCCTCAGCGACTCTTGTAACGAGCTGGAGTGGGAGATGTGCTGCCTCTTAAGGGCTCGCCTTTTATTACTGCCAAGTAAACAAAAGCAAACAGGAAACAAACGTGAACAAAAGCAACCTGAAGTGAAAATGTGGGCAACATTATACTCGGACGAGTACATTAAGAAAGCCACTTTGCCTTCAGTGATCTCGGAGATTTCTGTTGTGAAACTACGGTTAGTCTTCATGCTCACCGAGCAGCTGCTGCCTGTTTGCTGTCGAATGCTGATGTACTGAATGTAAAACTGATTATTTAAAAATGACCATTTGATCTCTGAAGATTTGGTTGTGTCTCATGAATGAGAGACAGCAGATAATCAGCAGCCGCCGCATCATTACTGTAAATGTTAACTTTGTACGTGAGGGACGCGGCGTGAACTCTGCGGCTCTTATACGTGCGATCTAAACACGTGTGACTGAATTTGTGCTGTTTGAAAGATGCCGTGACAGACAAATCACTTGTGCTTATTGTATCAGTATCAGCACTAAAGTGTGGTTTTGGTGCTTCCCTCATTAAATAACATTCTTTAAAAGACGTGAAGGTCTGATTATGTCGACGGCATCTACATCCCTGCAGAACACAACGTCTTCGTGTCTGAACTGGAGCAGTTTTGTTCTGGGTCTGCTGACAGACTCTAATTACAACATAGATGCCATCGTTTGGTATTTCCAAATCAGCACGAAACATAATAAATGTTACCTGAAGATTCTCTTTATTTTCTTCAGCTTCTGTCAAACTGAACTGAGCAACTACATCTCTCTTCTCCCCTCGCCGCACCCTTCTCCTTGCAGTTTGCAAGATGTTGTATTTTTGGGCGCTCGATGTTACAAGCACAGCAGTGAAAACAAAACTGCTCTGTGATTTCACCCTCACTTGCTTCAGGCATCTCTCACAGCACCAGGAAACTGCAGCAGCACAACAAACTGCTGCAGAGCACTTCATAGATTCACAAACAGAGAAACTGTGGCTGCAACTCATCTCTCCCTTAAAAGGCTACAAAACATGATGCATATCATCTACCAGTTTGTTTTCATATATTACATTTACACGTGACTGCCGGTGCAATTATGTCTAAAATTCCTCGGTATGTATTTTATGTGCAGTAATTCTGGTCGTTTAAACAGCGGTGGCGCCATTATGTACTGGCACATAATATGTAAAATCCTCCAGCAGCGTTTTGCATATTACTGTAAATCACAGGGCGGCTGCATTCTTACCTTCTGACAGTAACAGTTTTATATTTGTGTATCAACTTTGAAAACTACTCTCTGACTCTTTACCACTAAATCAACAAGGTTTCTGTAATTAATGGCTGTTGATGGAGTGGACGTGTTGGTTTTAGTGTGGCAAGAGTGCCCTCTGGTGAATTATCAGGATACACCTGTCAGGACAGCACAGCAGCAACAACATACACTAAATGTGAAGTAACTAATAGTAAGCAAGTAGAATAGAATTCACTCGCTGGGCCCACGTCCTCATCTTAGGTTTGACAGCGTTTTAGTAGGTAAAGGTGATGCTTGGACATGACGTGAGCTGCGGTTTGGGGAAGGCCTCGAAGGAGACTGGCGACGGCTCCCAGGCCTGGCAGATCCCCGTGTTTAAATAGAAGTGAAGTTAAAGAAATGAGAACAGGGAGGGAGGGGCACGTGAACGAGAATGAACAGCTTGCAGAACTGGGGGAACCTCTGCAGATGGCAACCGGAAGGAGCATGTTTGGAGGCGTGGTCCTGCTCCTGAAATTCAGATACATGATCTCCAATAGAATATGATAAGTTCAGATCAACACCTTTGTGCCAGGAAAATAAAATAATTCCACATTTAAAAATAGTTTGAAAGCCTCCTATCTTTATCTCGACATCTTTGGACATTTACCTACTGCAACAGCGGCGTGACGCGACAGATACAGATCAGCCACTGACATGGCTAAATGCCATCTTATTCCCTGATAGGCTGATGTCAGCCCACGAGGCCTACAGATGATGATGCATCCCTAGGTACATGTGAGATAGCAGCTACACATTACAGTGCACACAACAGCATTTTAAGAAACAGGCGTGGGCTGGTTGGGGGGGTCGAGCCCAGCCTGAATTCAAGAATTAGAAAATAAACACTGCTGTTTTTGCTTAAGCCTGAACAAGTTTTTATTTTTTTTAAAGTTGGACAGTATTTTTATACACGTGCACTAGCAGCAGGTCATCTAAGAATCATAACCCAAAGTTATTATCTGAAGCGTGTGAATGTTCGAATATGTCTAAGTGCTATTTATCTGTCTTTGAAACCAGCTGCTTGTTTTAGAAGGAACCAACCATGTTTGTGCTCAGAGGTACAAAGATTTCATTATAAACCAAACAAACCATTTTAATGACTTTAGTTACTGGAAACATTGTAACTGACAAGAAGTGGTTCTTCTGTATATTTCAGGTATTTATCAAGATTATTGTAAAAATATCCAACAGAACCAACTCGTTTGCTCCAATCATCCTTTTTCTTCTTTGATGTTTGTGAACTTGTGTTAAAATGTTAAAAGGTCAAAAACTTAAACAACTCCTAAGACTTAACTGTAACTGGATTTAAAGGTCTTTTTTTTTATTGCATTAAAAAAGTTAACTATTTCCAGTAAAAACAAGAAATAAAATCTTAATTATATGCAAGGGGCAGAAAACCCAGAACCAGGAGTCCAGATTTATGCTGAGAGGAGATGCCACATCTATCCAAACTTCCCACTGCAGAATAAACCTCAGACGGATATTTCCTTTGTTTTATTACAAACAAATACATTACAAAACTCTCACATCTGAAGGCAACATTTTTTTCAGTGCCTGAGAAAAAAAGGTCGTAGCACTTAAAGTTAAAAAAATATGCTTACAGAGGTCGAAGAAAAACCCCCCAAAACATTTTGATTTCTACAAATCATCACAGAGCCCATGAACACAGAGTGTTTGGAGTTGTTGGTTTAGTCAAGTCCCTTTGAACCATCCAGAGTCTCTGTGTGTGTTTGCTCTATAGTCCGTGAAGGGTGCAGCTGATAATGTCCATGAAGGTGGCCTCTATGCAGTAACAGAGCTGGACATCAGGGTCAGCCCCACCCAGCTCCTCTGCTGTCTTCTGGGGTAGAGTCAGCTTGCAGGGGTGTCCTCCTGAGACCACAGCCTCCAGTGGTTTCTCCTTAAGATACTGCAAGCCTGAGTGAAAAAACAAGTGTTTTTCTTTAGCACTGGTAGATCTAAACTCATCTACACAATCGAAGCGTCCAGAAATGCTGAATAAACAAAGTAGATCAAGCCTGTCTGCAGTAGCATACATGGACAACACCTTTAAATGTCTATGGTAGGTATACTCCTACTACACATTTACTAGATCCAGTGAAATACATGGGCTGTGCATCCACAGTGAGTACAGATCCAACAGCAGTGATACCAACACCGAGCTTCAAACCCTCAGTCTGAGGAGCAGGCTGGCACTTGGTCTTTATGTGTAAGGCAACATCAGGCTTCACTCAAACACATCAAAGCTAATAAATGATGAAGGGTCTTTCTCATAATTCTTAGACATTTAGGACAGAAATGATCAGATGGCTTTAATTACAACATCTGGATTGTGGATTTTTAAAAAGATGAACAAAAATGATTCGGGTCAAAATATTTTTGTGTCAACATTATTCTGCCAAGAAAATGAGTAATCATGCTTACGCGCGATAAAAGGATCGATGTCCCGAGCTTTGGTGGCCACGTCCGAAGAACAAACCTGGCCCACTTGTACTAAGAGAGCTGCCACGTCATCGTAGAGTGGAGGGAACGCCTGGCAGAAAGCCACCAGGCATGGCAGGGTGGGCATGAAGAAGAGGAACCGCTTGGCACGAGTCAGCACTAGGAAGCAAAACACACACACACGAATACACAATTAACACTATACACAAGGCTGATAAACAGTTAATACAGTGTAGAGAAATAATGTTGCACTAACAGCTAAACACCAGAGGATGGCAGCTAAACACAGGGATAAAAACATCTGTGTGCCAACAGCTGATTTATGTAAGATGAACTGCAGAGTGCAGGCAGCAGACTGAATGTTTGACAGAGAAAAGACGCACACTAAAAGAGGAAGTATATCACCACATGCATGAGCGTGTGAGACGTAAAGAGTGTTTACTGACCTGTAAGAAGTGTACCCATGACACTGATGGCCAACCTGGCCACACTCAGGGACTTGGGTAGGGCGTACTGGGTGCACAGATATGATAGCAACTGGATTGCAAAGATCTGCAGGGACACACGATAACAACAGTGAGACATTTAATACATTTATTTATGTAGCAAATATGCAAACACTCAGCAGAGCAGCGAGCAGAGCTGGTTGGAGAAAATAAATAAATAAATAAAAGCACAACAGTGTAAGAGAGGCTCTGGCACAAACCCAGGGCAAGTCTAGGAGTGAAAGCCAGGAAAGAGAGGGGAGGGGAGGTTGGGAGGCCTCACCTGCTTTTCCAGCTGGGGCTGGGCCAGCAGCTCTGGGATGAAGTCCAGACAGATATGGATGGAGGGAATGCCTGCCACAGTTAGAGGCAGCAGAGCTTGAGGGTAACCCTGGCAGACAGGGAGACGAGGAAACAGGAAACTTGGAATTAATCTAGCAACATAAGCAAGAAATCGCAAATAAGCAGTTCATTTATTCAAACAGTCGTCTATGTAAATGAGTGCTAGCGTAAACATGCGTGTGCGCCGATGCACACTGCAGCAGCTCCTGCTCAGCAGCTCCTGCTCAGCAGCTCCTGCTCAGCAGCTCCTGCTCAGCAGCTCCTGCTCAGCAGCGTGGATGGATTACTGTGACAGGAAGTGGTTTGATGAAGTCCACCATATGGCTGTCTGCTGCTTCTGGGAGCGCTGCACTCACTTATTACTTACGCCACGGCACAATCTGATGACTAATGGGGTCAATATGATTCGGATCTTCTTGAAAAACGCATTGAAGGTATTTTCTGCTCTACGGTGTAATCAATTATCAATGACTGTAATGCTTTCAATAGGAAAATGTGGAAGGATGCACAAAATGGCACAATAAACCTGCCAGCATTATATTACCTGAAAGTGGACCAACTTGGCAATGTTGGGGTCGGCGATGAACATTTGATGCAGCAGACAACAGATGAGACACTGCACCTCCCTCAAATCACTGAGCAAACCTCCCTCTGGCTCCGCAGCCTCCACGCCCCCCTTGGCTGCAGGCCCCAGGCTTCCCTGTTTCGATTTCCCTGGCACGGGGCCCCGAATGCTCCTCAACAGGCTGTCTGTGGTGGCCCCCAGCTGCTGCTCTTCAGAGGTTGGCAGGCACACCTCCAGAAGAATCTGCACTGCTGCGCTGTCCTGCAGTTGGACAAAAACAAGGATTTATAATGACTTTGCATAAAAGGCCCGCCGTTACACTTTAGTGTCTTTTTGCATTTTTTGTTTTACTGAAACATCAGTAAGATAGAAATTTCACATAAAAATAAGATTTGAAAATTTTGCAGTGTAATATTTTGGGGGGATGAAGAAACAACGTGATACAGGAAACAGGGTTAGGAATGAATATGCTGTCACATGCATAGCACTCTTATAAAACTCAAATGACCTGCGCAGATAAAAGAGCGTTCTTTAGCTCCTCCCTGGTGACCTCCGGCGTATCTGGTTGTCCCGGCACACCGAGGCTCGACACAGTCTGGCTCTGTCGATCAAAGTCGGCCGTCTCCTTCAGGTGACATTGTAGGTAGGCTTTCGAGGCCAGCAGGTAGCCATTCAGCATGTGAAGGACAATGTCCATCAAAGGAGGACACCTGGCCAAAAACAAATATTGTTACCTGACAATTAAGACGCATCATAACACGTCTGCCAGAGCTCATCTTTATATTCTTACATGCAGTTTCTATACATCAATACAACCATTATAGCCTCAATTTTAATAACATGTTTGCATTAAGTCCTTAGTAACTACATAAAGTGCAATAAATGACAAAAAAAAATTGAAAATCGTTTTTGTTTTTTTCCATATATTTCTAGTTAGAACCCCGCCTCTCGCCCTATGACAGCTGGGATAGGCTCCAGCGCTCCCGCGACCCTGAAAAGGAGAAGCAGAAGCGAATGGATGGATTTCTAGTTAGAGAAATTTCAGAGGTTCACCCCTCAAAACTGTAAATAACAAAAAGTTGCACAAAATAGTTCCCAACCACAGGAAAATTATTTTGAGTGTCTTCATAGTTTTATTTTTGAGATACACTAATTTTTATATACTGCAGGAAAAATGAAAATAAATATTATGACGCAAATTTGCAAAAAAAAAAAAAAAGCATTAAAACAGATTATTTCCAGCAGTTTGAGTTTAAGCCTCCCAGACACGATACAGAAAGGCATAAACTCAAAATCTATTTTAAAAATACCTGCATATCTTTGTAAATGCCCTACAGGACAAAAAATACTTTTTCTGTGAAAATGACGTCACTTCCAGTTCCGGGCAGGTCATGGCGGGCATGCAACAGTTCACGCTGACGTCTATTCCAACATAGGAAGTGTCATGAACAGCTGATCGGATCAGCAAAGCCTGTTTCTGGAATATTATGTTTTTGTTGCTGCAAGTGCTTTTTATGCAGGTGTTGCAAAGCCATGTGTGGAAGGAAACCGTGACTGAGGACGAGCTGATGGCATAAGATGCAAGTACAACTCCTCCGGTTTCATATGCAAAAAAAAAATGATTGCGCTAGCTCACGTGGTTCCAGTGCTTAAAAATAGTTACGGAAAACGGAGCGTGCCCGCGCTGCCCGGTCATAAAGGGTTCATCTTTTGTATAAGAAGAAATTCTTTAGTTACGTTCAGTGAAAATGTGAACCACATGAAAGCCCACCTACTGCAACACGTCTGAGACTGTATGTTTGAGTCCATGCGTGGCTTTTTGTAGTCACCTGTATACTCTCTGATCACAGCGCAGCACGATGAGAGGATCGACCATCAGGTCATTCTGGGTGTACCTCTGCTGCCTGAGCAGCTTCGCTGAAGGTTGGAGGGCGTTTACCGTCATCACCCACAGCCTGTGACACAGACACACAATTTCATTCCCACCACACAGTTTTGTTAACTGAAGCACCGACTGTACCCGGCTTTTAAAGAACTCTGGCGTAACTAAGACTAAGAAACACTGCCTTGTTAAGGGACAACATTAAAACTGCTCAAAGTAAAACTGACAGTATTACGCCCAAGATTAATATTCAGATTAGAGCAGGGCGCTATGACCAAAAATATTTATCACCATATCATTTGAAAATTTGCGATAATATAACATTATGTTGAAGCACAGTACGTATCACTCCGCGAGGCTCCGCCTACGACAGCCGTAACGCTCCAACAATCCATCAAGCGGTGCGGCTTCGTAGCTCAGCAAAGTCGTACTGAAACATCTGACAGATTTTCGAGCGCCGTGCACATAAAATCGTTTCGAGGTCAGTAAACACAACCAGAGTTCATACATAAGGCACACGGGATTATAAGGGGCTCTGTCGACTTTCAGAAAAATCAAAGGATTGGTTTTAAATGCGCCGTATTTTCCAAACAACACGGTAACAACGACGGCCCGCTAGCATGCTCCCCCGACAACCCCTTACATCTCCCCCTCAGTCTTCCTGCCTGAGCTCGTCTTGTAACAGGCTCCTTTTGGTAGCTGTGCTCCTTTGAGCCCTGCAGCAGAGTGAGGTTAACCTCATCTGTCCAGAGTTCACAAAGGCCGACTCAGTCGCTCACCTCAGTGTCTTTGATCAGTTTATACAATAATCACTGAGCAGACAGCTGAAAGTTAAGAGCAACATCTGCTGCTCTACAGGTTTCATGTCCTGTATTTACAGAGCCTCCCAGCAACTGTCTACAGGAGGAAGCAACAAGTCAAACACCCCTGTAAGCCTTTTACTGGAAACATGTATAATTATTATTTAACCAGCAGCAGGGGAGTTCATTCACTTCAGTGATGTCAAATTCTAATAGTGAGGACAAGAAAATTCTTTAGACCAATTTTAGTTACTCAAGTGATTCCATTAATGCTTTAAGGCACAAATTCCTGATTGCATGTCCGGAGCACGTACCTGCGGGGCATCACGGTGTTCAGACCCATCCAGAGCTTGTTGACGGTCTGTAGTATACGACGAGGCACAGCAGGCTCCAGCAGCAGAGCCATGCTGGCTGTGAGGGCCTCCGCATAAGGGATCAGGTCTCCAGGTGAAAGCAGTGTTAAATGTTCCAGGATACGCATCAGCCTGGGACTACCTGATGGCAACTTCTGGAAGGCTGGGAGGAAAACATAAGCTTTAATCTCTGATTCATAGAGAAGCTTTGGCTGCATCTCCATCAGTGTACAACAAGTGCACAGCACAGTATCATAAATACACTTGAGAATTATTTTGTGATTGTCCGTTGAGGTTAATCAACAGATTCCTTTAGCAGCATGGATGCATTTCAAGAGTCAGAGAGGAAAAATGTAAATCACAGATTAAATCCTACAAATGTATGGCGGTATTTTTGTGCCACTATTCTGAGCGCGCGTAAAAAAAGTTTGCAGGTGCAAGTGTTTGAAATTTATTTTGAGCGAAGAAAAGCTGAATTTGAGTGAACAAAATTCATTCCTGCAAAAACTGTATTTCAGTGTTTGCTATTATCCACACACACACACACA